CGGGAATTTGAATTCACAGAGACAGAATTTAAAATCACTGAATCGGTCGAGTTGGGAAGGACCTTAAAGCCCGTCCCATTCCATGCCCTGCCATACCAGGGACACCTCCCACTGTCCCAGGTGGATCCAGCCTGGCCTTGGGCACTGCCAGGGATCCAGGGGCAGCCACAGCCAATCTGGGAATTCCTGCCCAGCCAGGAATTCCTTGCCAAGATCCCACCTGAATCAGTCCTCTTTCAGTCTAAAACATTTCCCTTGTCCTAGCACCATCTGCCCACATTAAAAGTTGCTCTCTCTTTTTTGGCACTGGGGAAGGCTGCAGTAAGTTCTCCCTGGCTCCTCTGCAGGTGAACAGCCCCAGCTTTCGCAGCCTGGCTCCAGAGCAGAGGTGTTTTGATGCTCACATGTTTTGTTCTGACCCTCAAAACATCTTTGGGTTCCTGCCTGGTCTGGCTGCAGCAGCTCCACGTCCTCCCCGGGGCTGGGGCAGCTCTGCAGGTGGGGTCTCACCTGGGCACAATCCCCCCTCCACCCCTGCTGCTGCTGAGGGTGAGCCCAGGACGGGAGTGGCAAGGAACAGAAACCAAATGGTCCCAAAACCAAAATCCAGAGGGAACCCCATCCATCTGCTCCTTCTGACCTGGTGTGGCCACCAGCACCAGTGTCACCCTGAGCCACCAGCCCCGCTGGGCACAGTGTCACCCGGGGCCACCAGCCCTGCTGGGCACAGTGTCACCCTGAGCCACAGCCCTGCTGGGCACAGTGTCACCCTGAGCCACAGCCCTGCTGGGCACAGTGTCACCCTGAGCCACCAGCCCTGCTGGGCACAGTGTCACCCTGAACCACAGCCCTGCTGGGCACAGTGTCACCCGGGGCCACCAGCCCTGCTGGGCACAGTGTCACCCTGAGCCATAGCCCTGCTGGGCACAGTGTCACCCTGAGCCACAGCCCTGCTGGGCACAGTGTCACCCCAGCCTCATGTCCAGCTGATTCCCCACCACCACCTCCAGCTCTGCCCAGGATAAATTGTTCCATTCCATAAGAAAAGCTCCACTCTTTGTCCCCAGACTCTAGCATTTGTCACCTTCACATGAACATTCATTGCTGGCGTCTGCCTGGGATTTGTCCTCATTATTTGCTGCCACACAAACTTTGTCCCGTTTGAGAGCCTGTCCACAAGAAGTTGATTTATTTATTTCTTCTCCCCAGTCCCTGCCATAGCCATGCTGAATGGGTATTGTTGGAATTTATTAATCAAATCATCAGGCAAGGCCAACACGGGTGTAGCAAAGATGGTTCATAATCCCAAAAAATGAGATTGGCTTTGCCTGACAGACTCTGTTGGCCTTAAACCCTTCTGGCTGCCATTAACCCTTTGATGTTGCCTTAATTTCCTCCTAATGAAGCTCCATATAATTGGGTTTTATGGAGCTGACAACAGCCTGGTCATGCTTTAAAATCTCCCCCTTTTAATTACTGATCTCAGTGTTTGCCAGGCGTCCAGAACTTCCCCAGTGGGCCAAAACTTCCTAAAAAATCAATGTGATGGGTCAGAGGGCTGGAGAAACCTCGTGTGCAAGTTCCTTTCTGGTTCAACAATCAGCCTCTGTCCATGGCTTCCCAAAGCCAGGAGCAGCTGTCCCAAATCCCTGGAGCAACACAATTATCAGAATTTATTTCCTTTTTCGTTTTTAACTTCACAACCTCTTGCTTGTCGTGTTTATTTGGGGTTTTCATTTTGTGCTGTGGTTTGGTCAACTCCTGCAAGGTCTCCTGCCTTTTCTCCTTGCTTTTCCCTCCTCCCTGCTGGATTTTCCAGGTGGCTCCGTGCTCTCTTCCCTCTATGCAGCAGTGAGAGGCGGGCACGAGGCCAGGCCAGGCTGAAATCTGCTCTCTGCAGCGCCATTGAGGAAAGCATCTCCCACTGCAATCACGGGTTCAGCCAAAATCCGGGAATTACCAGCGCAAAGGAAGGATCAAACAGGGCCAGAGCACTCCTGAGCCCCTGGAATCCCGAGGTTCCTGTCCAAGGAGCGCTGGCAGTGTCACAGGGGGGCAGTGTCACAGGGCAGTGTCACAGCATGGCAGTGTCACAGGGCAGTGTCACAGGGCAGTGTCACAGCGGGGCAGTGTCACAGCAGGGCAGTGTCACAGGGCAGTGTCACAGGGCAGTGTCACAGCGGGGCAGTGTCACAGGGCAGTGTCACAGGGCAGTGTCACAGCATGGCAGTGTCACAGGGCAGTGTCACAGGGCAGTGTCACGGGGCAGTGTCACAGCGGGGCAGTGTCACAGGGCAGTGTCACAGCAGGACAGTGTCACAGCAGGGCAGTGCCAGCTCCACACATTCCCACTGCCCTGGGTGGCGTTTCCCTCTGGAACGTGATCCCCCTGAGGGAATGCCCCTCAGTCCCCTCTGGATTTTCGGTGTCACTGCCACAACCGAGCCTGGAACCTCCCAGGGCAGGGCTGCAGTCCCCGTCCCTGAGGCATTCCCAGGCCCCTGGCTGTGGCCCTTGGGGACACGCAGTGCTGGCCTGGGCAGGGCTGGGATGGCATTCCCAGAGCAGCTGTGGCTGCCCCTGCAAGGAACCTCCCAGGGCAGGGCTGCAGTCCCCGTCCCTGAGGCATTCCCAGGCCCCTGGCTGTGGCCCTTGGGGACACGCAGTGCTGGCCTGGGCAGGGCTGGGATGGCATTCCCAGAGCAGCTGTTGGTGCCCCTGCAACCCTGGCAGTGCCCCAGGCCAGCAGCTATGAGGTGTCCCTGCCGTGGGATGAGATGTTTTCAAGATCCCTCCTCAACCAAACTATCCTGGGATTCCATCATCATTTCTCAGGTCTCCAGCTCCAGCTCCCTCCCACTGATTTTTAATTTTTAAAAAATATTTAATTTATCAGGAGCAACTTTTAGCAGCTAAAACTAAAAATCCTTTCTCAACCCTCCCTCCTGCCTAGAGCCACAGAATGGCTTGGCTTGGGAGCCACCTCAAAGCCCATCCCATTCCAACTCCTACCTGGGCAGGAACACCTTCCAGAGGCAATTCCAAGTCCCGTGGAACCCTTGCAGGGCTCAGGAATGTCCCGATGGAGCACTGGGCTGCTGGAAGGGCAGTCCAGCAAACGCTGCCCATTCCCAGCTGGCCCAGCTCCTGTGGGTGCCAGGGCAGCAATCCTGATGGATGCAGGAGACTGGAGCTGCCAAACTGGGAACGGGGGAACTGGCAGTGACTGAAGCAAGTTCTGCCATCAAGAAGCTACTTGTGAAAAAAATACACATTTGCTGTCTTTTTTTTTTTTTTTGCTGATGATCTTAATTTCGCCGAATGTGTAAGATTTGCTTTAGCAAAACAAATAGCGCTCTTGGGTTTTTGCCATGCCATGAATTTTTAATGCTTTATTAGAGTGCTGGAGGGTTCCAGCCCAGTCTGGAGCTGCTTGATGGAGTGAAATCCCACTCCATTACCTGCCTGGCACCATCTGGCCTGGCACTGAACAGCTGGGAATCCCAGCCCTGCTGCCAGCTCCTTCCATACAAACCAGGTATTCCTTGGAAAAACCCTCCCTGAAATTTGTCTGCACCTTCGTGCACAGAGGTGTTTATTTTTAAAAAGGATTTTAGGGCTTTTTGTGATCGGAGCGGGCTTTTATTCCCTAGCAAAGTACCAGTGCTGGATGCCAAAAAATTTGGGATTGCAGAGGGAAAAGGGGAGGGAAGGCCTTGGTGCCCAGCAGGTGGGGACAAGGCTGGGCAGGCACAATAAAAGGGAATTTACCCCTGCGGGGAGAAAAAAAAAAATATACATATATATTTTCAAAAGGATTAAATTTTTTTATTTAAAAATATTCGAAAAATATGGTGAAAAGTGCATTGAAAAAACGTAACGGAGAAAAGGCCAAGGGCGGCCGCGCTGTGGGCAGGCGAGGCCCGGCGCTCCAGGGACGCAGCCGCATTACCAGACCTGGTCCTGTTGGCGCTCGTTGCTGGTTCCGATGCCGGTGCCGTGGCTGTTCCCGGTCCCGGGCTCATTCCCGGTCCCATTCCCGTTCCTTTTCCCGGTCCCGGGCTCCAGCAGGTGGGGACAAGGCTGGGCAGGCACAATAAAAGGGAATTTACCCCTGCGGGGAGAAAAAAAAAAATATACACATATATTTTCAAAAGGATTAAATTTTTTGATTTAAAAGTATTCGAAAAATATGGTGAAAAGTGCATTGAAAAAACGTAACGGAGAAAAGGCCAAGGGCGGCCGCGCTGTGGGCAGGCGAGGCCCGGCGCTCCAGGGACGCAGCCGCATTACCAGACCTGGTCCTGTTGGCGCTCGTTGCTGGTTCCGATGCCGGTGCCGTGGCTGTTCCCGGTCCCGGGCTCATTCCCGGTCCCATTCCCGTTCCTTTTCCCGGTCCCGGGCTCATTCCCGGTCCCATTCCCGTTCCTTTTCCCGGTCCCGGTCCCGCCGCTCCCTCATGGAAGCCGCACGCCCTCACAGCGGCCGCAAGGGGGCGCCCCGCTCCGACCACGCCCCCTCGAGCGCGCGGCGGGCCCAACCCGCCGGCACCGACCAATCAGAGCCGGCGGCGCTCCCCGCGCGCTCGGAGCGGCCATTCACAAAGCGGCGGGGGCATGAATGGGGCGGGTCACGTGGGCAGGCGCGTTCCCACGCCCCCTCCGCTGGGTTCCGGGATGGAGCGGGCACCGGGAGCGGGGTCGGGAGCGGGATCGGGATCGGGGTCGGGATCGGGATCGGGAGCGGGATCGGGGTCGGGATCGGGATCGGGATCGGGATCGGGATCGGGATCGGGATCGGGATCGGGATCGGGATCGGGATCGGGATCGGGAACGGGATCGGGATCGGGAACGGGAATGGGAACGGGATCGGGATCGGGATCGGGATCGAGATCGGGAACGGGAATGGGATCGAGATAGGGATCGGGAACGGGAACGGGAGCGGGAATGGGAACGGGG